ATATATATATTTAATATATATTCCTACTCCATTCTAAACCCAAATCTTACAAAAAATAGGATTTTTAACTATCCCATTAAGTTTTACAAATCTAGAAGAACCTTAAAATGAACGTTTCCTGTCCTGTTCCTTCAATCAACCAGAGATATGCAGGCAAAAAATCTACCACTCAGTAGTTCTCAGATATTTTCCATTGACCCCTTGCCATTCCTCTCTTTGGAATTCCTCATTAAAGCACCAAAAACCTTCACTGATACAGAAAATGTTCTACCCTTTCTTGAAGCTGACACCTGCAAAGTCGTATGCTTTTGTGTGTCTGCAACCTCAAAAAAAAGAAAAAGGAAGAAAAATAAAAAAAAAAGCTTTGCTCTCAAACCTGGTAACACTTAATGCAGGGTTCAGTACATTATGCAGCTACACCTACCACTTTTTGGTAAGGCAAAACTAATTCTTACATTTGCTACACATTAGTAACTGGAAGATCTTCTGTAGCAATTGCCCCTGAACAAAAAATAAAGCTTCCAGAAGATCAAAGATACCCTTGTGTAACCAAGGCCATACACGGGTCTTTGCACAAATACCCAAATTCCCTTTCTGCCTAAGGCTTGGGAACATTCAGGGACTGGTAAACAGAATTTTTTAATATATTGCCTGAATAAATACTTCTGTCTATATCACACCATCAAAGAATATCAAATACGAAAAATGTGGCTTTCTGGCCGAGCCATGTTATCACTTTAAGATTAATAGTTTTCTTTAATACAATAAATATTTCAGAACATAGAACTTGCGTAATAATCAGCTCTTTAAAGACTGGAGCTTTTTTAATCTACTGAGTGTCAAATAGGGACATTTACAATGAAGTACAAAGTTCCACTAAGAGTTTTTTAAGGAGGAGAGATTAAATTGGCTTCCAAGGTCTAGTCAGCCATATATATGTCTCTGTATGCAAGAGTTCTTCACCTTGCTAAAACTTTTGATAGCAAGGTTGTGGTCATCCACAAATGAATGACTCAGTGTCAAGCTAATTTATTGAAGTAACTCAAGTTAAAACACAAACATACTTAGAGGCTGAAGTTATGCCTTGTTATTTCAGCTACCAACACAGATATCCAACACTTTTTTTTCCTTTTCTTTTTTTAATTACCAAGAATATATTTTGGAAAGTTTATTAAGTACAAAGTTAAGGAGGAGATGACAAATGTTATATTAAATCAACTCTTCTACACCACACAACATTTCACATCTTTGTGTCTGTACCATGCCAAGGAGCAGATTAGGCCTCTTATTAAAGTAGTTATCAGGCTCTTCATTACACCCCTTTTTTGATATGGAGTTTCCATTAAGCAATTACTTCTCACTTAGATATTTCTTTCTTTGTCTGTATTTTCCTAGCTATGGATTAGCAACTTCTAAAGGGACTGCAGTAAGAAAACCATATAAAAATGTGGCTTAGCATGACATCCTTCATTAGGCTCTGTAAAAAGAGGAAATTAAGGATGAGAGTCACAGCTTGCTACTCTATATTCAATTAGGACTGGCTTCTTTGTGGCTGTGGTTCATGCAGGATGTACAGTTATCTAATACAGCCCAATTCTGGCAGCAGAACAATTAGAATGCAAGCATAACTTAAAACAGACTCTTGCAATATTTTTTTCCTTTGGTTGTGGCATCTTCAGCAGACTTAAAACAGCAGTCATCAGATCGTATCCTGTGCTGAAGTTCCAAACTCATATTCTGAAACCGAATGCAGCTTTTAAAATACTTAACGATGTGAAAATTGAATATGATATGACTGAAGAAAGCAAGTGGAGAAGGGCTTTGATGCCTACACACGCACATATGTACAAAATCTAAGAGAAAAAGAAACGCTGTATCTAATCCCAACATCCTCAAACTGGCCTTTGTTCTGTGGTGAGCTCAAAGCAGGCTCTTATGTCAACTAATAGGTCAATAATGTGCTCAAGGTGTGCAGTGCTCAAGCGCAGCAACAACAGTAAGTCTTGCACAACTCCCTTCTTTTGCATGACTTGCTTTTAGCAAAGATTGTAAGAATCTGGCAGGGTTTTCCTACCTAACAATAATCATCACCCTTTCTCCCCAGTTGGTCTGCATGGCTTCCTGATGAGGTGGCCTTGCTGCAGAGTATAGCGTGAAGTCAAGTCACACGCAGATTAAAATACCTCTCTTCCTACACGTTTCCACCCCAGGGCTATTTTTTCCTCCAGACACACAATCTTAAGCAGCCTTCTGTTTCACTGATGATAGCTCAGATACTTCAATGGCAGCTTGAATGACAACGTGAAGGAAACACAATACCCAAACAACCTCCCTCTCGGAAGTCTGTAAATTACCTCCTGCCAAAAGCCAGGTAAGTATACTAGAAAATACCACTCTGGTTTTGCCTTATTATATTCTTTTCCTGTTATTGGCCACTGTTAGAGACAGAGTGCTGTCCTAGACTGATGTTTGTCTGGATCTGGGACATTCTTAAGTGTGCGTGCCATGCTCCTGCACTCTGGTCTACCCATCCACTGCAAGGGGGGGAGAATTCAAATCCCCTCACTTTTTCCTTTGGTATAAGGAGTGCCCTTTCATCCCTTCATTATTAACTGGTAGAGTTTCCAGCAGTTGTATTCTTCCTCACAAATTCTGTTTCTGTTATAATTCACTATCTCTCAATGTTATTTTCAATAAAAAAAACAAAAAATTACTTGAAAGAGAACATCAAGTTGGGCTGTTGGATATTATCCAATGATCAGAAAGCAGCATGGCATTTTTATTAATTTCAAAACCAGCCAATTAACAAGCTACAGTGACAAGCCAACCAAACACTTTCAGAAATTACATACTTACCCTTTAGTTTGAGGTCCACATTGTGTCGCAGCCAAGGATAAACACCATAGTTTGACATGTCTTCAGGAATAGGGTGATTATATATCCAGCCATCACACGCAAATCGATAAAAGTTCTCACACGGATCTACGGATTGATTTATGTTGCTTAGGATGCCAGCAGCTGTAAAAAGACAGCACATAGATTTTGTGGAACAATTCTTCCTAAACAGAGAATTACATGAGGCCACAGTCCAGAAACAACGATTAACATTTTACCAGTCTCTGCAACGTGATGCTGACATCACTTGCAACCTAAGACTTGTTGTTCTAGGGCTGATGTGTGCCCCGATCTCTGCCATTTCTAAAGAGCAGCAAGAATGCCACCCAGCTGCACTAGTATCTAACAGTGCCTACATGAGAAGGAAAAAAAAGACAAAATATCTGCAATGAACATTTTTGAGTGCTGTACAGCAATGACCACTGAACCCAGCACTACAGGAGCATGAACTGCTGGAACCAGACATCTGAAGACAGGCTGTCCATTGTTGCCATGACAGAATTAATTGCCCGAGGAATTTAGTAGCAATACATATCAAACAGATTGTAATTAGCATTCCAGAAATTATGCACTATTTACCTTTAGCTGAATAGCGGCACAAGAAAACAAATCAAGTTCTGATCTGCCATTCATTGGAAAAGATAATTGTAGTATTTTTCAGCTCATTTTGTGACTGCATCCTCACCAGTTGCTGTTGCAGGTGAGACTGGTAAGAGAAGGATCAGTCTGACAAGGCAGAGATTTAATAGCTTTTGAGTATCTAATCATAGAATCATAGAATGGCTTTGGGTTGGAAGGGACCTTTAGAGGTCATCTGGTCCAACCCCCCCTGCAATGAGCAGGGACAGCTTTAACCAGATCAGGTTGCTCAGAGCCCCGTCCAACCTGACCTTGAATGTTTCCAGGGATGGGGCATCTACCACCTCTCTGGGCAACTTGTTCCAGTGTTTCACCACCCTCATTGTAAAAAATTTCTTCTTTATATCTAGTCTAAATCTACCATCTTTTAGTTTAAAACCATTACCCCTTTTATGCATTATAGTGATTGCAGCTTATATCTACACAGGTTGAGTAACATGGAATATGTGGATACTGGATATTCTTTGGCTAAATGACCATGTGTTTTGAGGCTTATCCAAGTAACAGATTAAAAATCCTAGCAGGAAATCTGGTAACTTTTACAGACTTTATGGTACTATTTCTAGCATCCAATACCTCTTCTTCATCCACTTTGAGTAACTCTTCCTATAATGTTTCTATGTCTCAGCTGTAATTCTCTTACATTAGAAACTCTCAAACTGACTACATAGAAGACATTTTGGTTCTTGGCAATTTTTTATTACTCCTGAAAAGCTGTTCAGCAAGACAAGGCTCAGGTCTTGAGACACTATGTAGTCACTACACAGAGCACTCTGAGCTAAAACAGTCAGATCATGTAGGTGTCCAAGTCGGCATTGGTGCAAAATCCCAGCTTCTGCTGAGCTTACCAAAAAATCCATGTTATTTCCTGTGCATGTGAGAAGAAGAAATCTAATTCAGATTCAAACTTCTTAAGTAACATATTTTTGTTCTGAAGCTCAAGATGAAGCCCCCAGCACTGTCAGTGCAGCGCAGAGCGGAAGCAGAATGGCAAATGTTGAGATCTGCAAATTTTTCAATTTATGGAGCCCCACAGAATTTGTCAGGATTTCAAACACAAGCCCAACACCTCACAGTATCAGCTTAATATGGTTCAGAATGGAAATAAGTACTCTTGTAAGTTCACACGATGTCCAGTTTGTTTCAAGTAAAAGAGCTCTAGGGGCAGTTTTCCAGATGTGGTAACTATTGCTTGATCTTTGCTCTCGTTACACTCAATGATAAAACTCTCATTGATTTAGTGCGAACAAAACTCTGTCAAAACTGACCAGTGAAAAATGGGTGTGTCTCAGATCCTACCAAGCCCCTTCCCTTTAGCTCGCATTTAATACTAACAGATGTCTGTCGTGGTTTAACCAGAGTCAGTAACTAAGCACCGCACAGCTGCTCGCTCACCCTGCCCTGCTGGTGGGATGGGGGAGAGAATCAGAAAAGAAAAAGTAAAACCCATGGGTTGAGATAAAGGCAGTTTAATAGGACAGAAGAGGAAGAGAAAATAATAATAATAATGATAATGATAATAGAATATACAAGAGATGCACAATGCAATTGCTCACCACCCACTGACCAATGCCCAGACAGCTCCCAAGCAGCCATCGCTGCCCCCCAGCACACCCCCCCAGTTTCTATACTGAGCATGACGTCATATGGTATGGAATAGCCCTTTGGCCAGTTTGGGTCAGGTGTCCTGGCTGTGCCCCCTCCCAGCTTCTTGTGCACCTGGCAGAGCATGGGAAGCTGAAAAGTCCTTGACTGGTATAAGCACTGCTTAGCAACAACGGAAACATCAGCGTGTTATCAGCGTTATTCTCATCCTAAATCCAAAACACAGCACTATGCCAGCTACGAGGAAGAAAATTAACTCTATCCCAGATGAAACCAGGACAATGTCCCAGCTCTATAAGGGTTACCACATGTATCTCTGCGTGGGGAAAAGAGCCTGCCAGTATGGAATTAGTTGCAGATTTTGAGTCGTAGTCACCACATTACAATTGTGCAAGTCTGTGCAAGGCCTGGCCCTAAAGCATCGCTGTGCTTAACGATTTACTTGCTAGTTTTCTGGCTACTGGGAAGGAAACAACAAAATACACCCGAAGGTCAAGTCACCCAACATTTTGTTTCCTATTAAAAAAACAAACCCTATGGGAAACTTTGAGTTAACCTGGGTAGAATAGAGTTAAAACAATTTAAAACATGATTTTTAATTGTAGAAAATAAACAGATCTGCAGCAACTTAAACAGTGACTGTTTTTAAAAGTTTGGTTCCCCCCCATTATTAATGAAGCTTTCTGAGTAAAATGTATCATGAAAAAAATTTAAACAGAATAAATATCTCATTAGCATACTATAATCATGATATAATGGAGAGGATAAAATTGTTGCTTACCAGCTTCAATGCATTCTGAGGTCAAACAGTACTGTTGCTTCGGATGAAACTTTATAAGACCTTGGCTAACTGCAAAATGGAAAACCGTAGTGAGATCATTTGTAATGAATTTTGACCATTGCAGCCAAGTGTTGTGTACTTGATCATTCAAATGTCAGTGCAATCTCTGGCTTTAATGTATCTCTGACTACATTGATTTAAAACAGTTAGAATGCATATTAAGTAAATACTGCAGCTCGTAACAAATAATTTTCCCCTCCTGTGCCTGCTTTCTCCTTCCTCTGTCTTTGCTCATAGGCAGCATGAAGTAAGGGCTGTCTCTCAGTATACATTTGCACCATGCCTGGAGCAACAACACTTCAGCCTTACTCACTGACAGCAAGTGCCACCACGATACAAACAATTAATCCTTGCTGCTATCATCCTCCAGAGGTGCACCTTTCACAGCTGGCAATGCAACATGGAGCTATCTAGCCACCTTCTGCAGGGTTTCCACAGCTCCTCCTGAGCTGCAGGGCTCGCACTGCCCTGCTGCACCTCCTCCTGCAGCACTGTTGCACTGCCTGGTCCCACCGGCACGACCCGGCACCAATGGGACACTGTGAGAGTCCCCTTATTCCAGCCTGGAATAAACCAGATAGCAATGGGCACAGGGATAACTGTGGTTTATAAGGCACAGCATAGTTTCTGTCTCAACTGGCTCCCAAAAGTATTGTAATTGTATTTGCTTCCAAAAACCTTGCTGACAAGAACTATGAAATTGTCGGTTAATTTTGCTCATCTTTTAAAAATGTGTATTACAGCTGCCACCGAAACTTAAGCATAGGAATTGCTAATTTCAGACACTGCTGTCAGGCAGCAAATATGCAGATAATTGATACTTGGGATGAGGATGGGAGAATCCCAAGGGGTAGATGAAAGAAGACTCAGTAGATGTGCTCAGTAGACATAAAGAAATGTCTCGTTATGTCTGTTATCTTAATAAATAACTCAGTCCATGGCAAAAATAAAAAGCAAAAAAAAAAAGCAAACAAAAAACCCAACAGTGGAATATATTAAGGTATTGTAGCTTCACCAGTGCTGATAGTTATAAGGCAATTTCTCCCATAGTTATATGTTGTTCAAAAGGGATAGGAAAATGTGAAATGGTATTTCAGCACAGGAAAATATTACTATAAAAAAACCTAAAGCTAGAACTGAATATAAAGCTGTTTCATCTCTTCCAACCTCATAGCTTTAATGAGAGTTAATGACAGAAATAGCTGGATTTCAATCAAATTTTCTTACAAACTGAAAATGTAAAACTATTTCTGGACAGCTTTACCAAAGCTTGCACTGACTCAGTGAAACACAGCACCTCAACCACCTTTGTAAATTAGCCAAGAAATACAAGAGATTTTGAGGCATATAAAGATTGTAATTGGAATATCGAAGAACAGTACAAAATAGGGAAGTGGAGGTCTCCAGAGTATGATTTTGAACCACATGAAATACAAATGATGGATAATGTGCCTATTAAGTGTTGCCCTCCTCCCAACTCACCTTTTCCCCACTTCAAAGTTAGCCTTTTAGAACCTGTCCATGTCTTGAAAGTTTGCTAGATTTTTTTCCTTAACAAAACAGAGAAAGGAGGGGAAATCCCAGGCACCATTTAATTCTTTTGCACTTGATGGAAAATGAGGGACAAAGAAAAAGAATCAGTAAAGAATGTAAAGTAGCCCTTGTGATTTTGATACTCATAAAAAACCAAAATACCATTTCAACTGATTTTGTTCCATTTACAACTTCATTATTACAAGAAGTTAAAAAAAAAATCTTAGGCAGTAACGTTTCCCTTTTAATTAACAGCTAATTTTGATTGAAAAACTGCCTGGTTTTGTTCTCTTGCCTTTTTGTTGTTGTTAAGAGAACTAACCATTACATTATAACCTACAGTTGTGGTTATAACACTCGGTGTCCCAGCTTCTTCTTTTATAAGCCTGTTTCCAGATTCTTAAGCAAATATACACCCTAATTAAGTTCCCCTAAAAAATCTGAAAGGGGAAAGGGCATACAAATACCCAGGTGCAAATAATGTAGATGTTGCTATAATCCGAGAACTCCAAAGGGCTACCAAGTCAGGAGGAGAGGCTAACAAATTGAGGTTCAAAGCTGCCTGACTTCTTGCCCGAGGGAACTGGAGAGCGATCTCCTTCTGTTTGTTCTGACCCAGGTCCCCAAGGAGGAGGTGGCTCCTGTCCTTCCACAGCCCACACCACTGTCCAGAGAGCTGCAGGCAGGACCCTGCATGATGCCAAGTGACTCCCCTGGTAGCTCCCCGCCAAAGTCATGCTATGGCTACAGCCAGTACGAGCAAGTTACAGTAAATAAAAATATGTGATTCTCCCAGATTCTTCTTAGAGTTGTAGGAACTCTGAGAAGAAAAAACAAGAGAAGGAGGAGAAGGCTACGTTTCACTCCTCAGGCTGGAAAATTGAAGGGAAATTATTTTAGGTCTACCAGAAACAGCAAGTTTTACAGATTAAAAGAATACTGAAGAAAAAAGGTCGTCTTGATGTGCTTGAAGTGTTTCACATGACCAGAAATAATTGTCTCCTTTTCTACGGTTTAACAAAACTAAAAAAGAGTTAAACTCAAACTTATAAACAAAACACAGTGTCACAATGAAACATGGAAACATTGCATTGACAAAATGTTAAATCAAAACAATTTAACAACTTTCCTTTATTCTTTTGGTTGAAAACTTCAGACAATTTCCAAACAAATCCTAAAAACATCCTGGTTGACCCGAGGCCAGCATTTTTATTTTCTTAGCAGTTATGCCAATGAAAATTTTGACACTGAATCTCTGGCTATGGAATAGGCCTCAACACACTTAGAAAGCTATCTCTAAGAACTAATATATTTGAATTTTCACATCTGGTCTACGGATACAGCACTTCCATCTCTGACAAGCTATGGTGGTAAAGCATACAAGCAATAAACAAAAAATCTAGTGCCAAAAATAAAATTAAGGTCTCTCCATTACTCCCTGGTGTTTGACACTGTATTCTTTCAGTGAAAAACAGTCATTTTACCTAGAAATAATATTTTGCGCTAACAAGTTGAAGATTCAATCCTGCTCATGTTTATAAAGAATTTTGTTGAATTCAGTGGGATTACTCACATACACAAATATTGCTTGCCTGCAAATGTTTGTAGGATTTGCTCTAGAGCAGAAAAACACTAACTGAATGCGAGCCTGGTACTTTAAATATTCTATAGAAAACCTGGCATAATTTTCTCTGTCATGAATTATAAATGAAGCAGACCTTTCAAACAAGATCACAAGATCATAAAGGATCAGAGGGAAGCACAAGACATGCTTAGATTCTAAGTTCCCTCCAGTCCAGGGAAATCTGCGTTGGTCTAAAGAAATGAAAAGTTAGGCTCAATTATTCCAAAAGAGGATTTGTCTCTGCAGGTTCTTACAGGATACAATACTGCTTTCCCTTCCCTGCTTGGTCACAATCTGCTAGTTCATAACCAGCATTACTGATAGGCATAATCCTACCCATTTCTCCCTGTTCTGTGAAAGAACCCAATTCTGGCTAGAACACATTCAATTGAGTATCCAAACTTAAATTCAGTATTCGGAAAGTTACATGAGCTCACGTTGCATCTTCCAGCTCTAGTGTTCCCACAACAAATCCCTTTCCTGACACATTTCCATTTCAGGATAAATATAAAAAGGGGGGAAAAGAAGAAGAGACCGAGATTTTCACCAAAACACACTGTGCAGCACAAACACCGGCACCAAACAGACAGGCTGGGGGGGGTTGCGTTCAGGTTAGCCTCAACCTTTTTACTTACCCAAGAAAAGCACGGTTCCAAGCACAACGGTGCCACTCACAAAGATGCCGAGGGCGATCCGTGTGGCTTTGCTGGCTGCTCTCCTGGCCTCGGGTACCGTCTCTCCTTCCATCGGGACAGCTTGGGATGCGCTCTGTCTCTCAGAAGTCTGGTTTTCCTCTGCTGCTGTGGTATCAGTATTTCAACTGTTCACAGACTGCACCCATGAGCTCTCCTCCTCTTCTCTCCTACTTACAACTCCAGGTTTCTGTCGTGAACCATTTCCTAGGCACTTCCTGCTCTCCCCCTCTCAAAGGAAAATCATGCGTAAAATAGTAGCCGTCTCCTACGTTTTCCGCTGACCAGGAGGAGGAAAGGCAAGTGGTGACCACTGCATGTACAGCCCTTGCTGCCTGTAGAGCCTCTATGAGCCAATCGCTCAGCAGTGCCCCTTATCAGGGGTGCCGAACATGAGGATTTCACAACGTTGCTGAACAGATGTTTTAGCTATTCAAACATATAGCTGTAAAACCCTTTGCAATCAAAGCAGGATTACTGACAACTTTTACAAACACTAGACTGATGGAAGGTTTTCTTTTTTCCCCTCGCGCTTATTTAAAAAGACTAATTATCTGCTGACTAAGCTTTCCTCCTCTTTGCTGCATCATTTGGGTTCACTAGAAGAGATACCCACTCAGGGGACAAATCCCTTTTTAAAGCTTCCTAAGAGCTCTTAGAATATCATATAGCATTTTATTTTGGGAATTTGGTATGTGACACTGTGTGCCAAAAATCACAGTCATGCAGCACAAAGCAATAATCAGCACAACCTACAGAAGAGTGCTGCTTTAAAGCTAGGGTTTTTTCTCCCAGGCAAGATATTTCAGTCCTTGCTGATATGCAATGAATCTTAGGAGATGATCCTGTACTTTCAGGTCAAATACTACTATGAGCTTAGTGGAAAGTATCTATTTGGCACTTCAAGTCAGTGGAGAATGAAAAAAACAAAAAAAGCCTTATTTATGTGGATTTCTCGGTTTCTGGCTTAGACTTGATCATCCTCTCTCCAGGTGGCAAGGTTTCCCCATCCATCAAGTAATAAAATTAATCATTTCAGGGTGAGTTCTTTGAGCTGACTGTGACATTCAGCCCTCTGAGGAGCTCTCACTTCCTCCAGAGCTGGACCCTCATGCAAAACATAAGGATGCAGGGAGAGGCAGTGCCATGTTGTTGTGGTTTAGCTCCAGCCAGCAACCGAGCACGACGCAGCTGCTCGCTCACTCCCCCTACCCCGATGGGATGGG